GTTTTCCTTTTTTGACCCCCCCCCCCCCCACCCGCAGAAATTATCATAATAGATGGATCGCCATCGGCCTTCTTGAAGCAGCGTGCGTACGATTTGTACGTTTCTGAAAATATTGATAGTTATGGATGACCCTCAGCTAATTGGATTTTCAAATCATTTGTAACAGATGTGGAACATTAGCTTGCCATTCTCTCAGTGACAAAATTTAGACAAGTTAAATCAATTTTCACATGCAAAGCCTTTGGACAAGTCTCTTTATTTTCATTTTGGAAACTGGTTTATCACATGTGATGCCTCAGACGACTATCAGACCTGGCGTCTTTGAAGTCACATGATATACCTGATCCGCCTATATATATCATTGAGTGATCAAGACACGAGCAATCAATTATTCAATTAACTCAACACAACACGTCTACCGTGAGATTCCTCACTTTTTTTCTCTTTTTCTCAGTAGGATTACAAATAAGACATTTGCATACCAATTTGACTGAATAAATAAAAAAAAAAACAGAAACTCGCGCGATTTACAATTTAACACCTTTTTTTGTGAAACGACGATCGGATAACAAATTGGTTTCCTCCTTCAGAATGTATTTTCTGCTACTGCTAACCGTACTTATGTTTATTGTCAATTATTTTATTTATATTCTATTTTTATTTCTACAATACTTTTTTTAACTGTGAAATGGGAAAGATTCATCAACTTGTAAGTTGTAAAATGTATCTTTGTTCACAGAAATGCATTTGGGACGATACTTTCGTCGCTCAGGCTCCATACATGAACTATACAGCAGTGTAAAAATGCTTTAGTAAAAACAAACCACAAGTACATCTATTTCTTGTCCCACAAGTGATCATAATGTTGAGAATTGTGGCAATACTAATTAATTAGGTTAATTTACATATTTAGTAAACAAACTGTCAATCAAATGCATGTGTCATAGGTTAAGTAAGGTGTATCAAATTTATGGCTAGTGTGAAGTGATAGTGATTGAGACTGTGAATTTCGGGTTAGTGATTTATAAAGTGATTCTATAGAAAAAACAAACTATAAACTCCAACGGCATTCCCAATGATAAAATAATAAATACTGTTTACTTCAACCAACTTTCTTTTCACTAACTTGTGTGTCCTTTCTACTGTACAATAAAAGTGAAAGTAATAAAATCACGTGACACACATGAAGTGATATCGAGCTGAGATGAGTGGAAGGATACGTATTCCAGCATAATTCGATTACACCAAGTATCAAGATCCTGAAAAAAAAACAAGAAGAAAGGTCAAGAAATCGCAGCAGGAGCCCATCCCCGGATGTTATTGAAGTTATGTATTACATATGAGATACATAGCTCAGTGCGGGCTGGCTGCGGGCTAACGCGCGCATTGAATAAACAGTGGAATTCAACGCGCGCGTTAGCCCGCACCAGCCCGCAAATCGCAAGCTTTAACACTGAGCTATATATCTCATGTAATGCTAATACATAACTTCAATAACACCCGGGATGGGTTCCCTGTGGAAATCGAAGACGTATTGGTCTAGACCAATGGTTTAGACTTGTCTATAACACTGCGCTCTATAAGCAACTGAATTTTAGTAAGAAAGCTTCGGATTGAAAAAGGAGAACTTGTAGCAAAGGCCTTTTGTTGGGAGGTTAAAGAAGCCACCGTCGAAGTTCTCCTTGTATTTTCAGGTAGTTGTATCCCTATCAATCCGCAGCCGTTCTTATTACTAGCACTACCTACACTGGCAGAGACCATTCAAGATTAGCCAAATATGGTTGATCTAATAAAATAACTGTGTAACAGAACCGCTCATGTGCATGCCAGACCTCATTCCCATGCATAACTAAAATAGATCTCGATTGGACATCGTACAATATTCTTACTCACCTGAGTGGAGTAGACAATCTCGTTTCCCACAATAAAAATGGCAACGTATGAAAATACCAAACATAAAACTGATAGTGCAGTGACCTGCAAAAACTTATTCCAATAAAATTTGAAGTAAATAATAAAACTAAGATATCTATATGTTGTGTCAAGGAATGACCATGTACCTGTCAGATATAGATATAGTATAGAATATGAAACGATATGGATAAAGCAGATCTAAGCAGTTTCAACAACTTGACCTGTTGTTTTAGCTGTCATAAAACAAGGATACCATTGGGAGCAATTTCTTTACACTGATAGTTTTGATTGAAGTACCCTGCAATTTTTACACGAGATCTATAATATTAGATAACAAAATTATGAAATCAAAGATTTTTGAAAGTTCTGCACATCATCATACGGTATAAACTTAAATTCGTCACTCTAATTACCATTCTTTACACATACCACGAGTAAAACTACATACCCTTTCCATTTGTAAAAAAAGAAAACAATAAGAAAAGCAATATGGAGTATGAGCAGTGAAACGTGAAAATATCGACTGTGGAACATCCATTTGGGCAGGAATCGCCAGTTGACCGTCCATTTGAAGAAAAACTGTCGGCCCAAGTTGAAAGATCTTGCGAGGTAACCAATAGGGTTGGAAAGCAAGAATGGAACAGCCAGGATTAACTGTGGTAAGGCACATATTATTAGTTTTGGTATGGTTCTCAGTACGCCATGAGATTCAAGAAGTAAAACCAACAATCCAGGTGCGGATAACAGAACATTCATTTTTATGCTGACTGCTATACTGAAATGAGAATTAGATTACAATTTACCAGATGATTAGCTGCTGTCATCTTTGTGAAGTATTGACTATCGTTCTGCAGACACAAACTTTGAGTATATGTATGGCTTTATAAAATGAACTGCATTTTACCTAAAGAAAAGACATCCCCAGTTCCAGCGCTGTTTGATAAACAAATATGTGGCAACATAGAAGAAGAACATGGCAACAGGATCGTTAAAAAGTCGGAGGACATAAATAGAATGTATTCTGTAGGAAGCACAGCACATAAAGAAAAAGACAAAAGGTGGAACCTAAAATAAAACAAGAAACAATTGCTCTAATTTTGAATGAAACTATTTAAAAGCAGCTGAGAAGATGAACCCTATCAACAAGATTCATCCAAGCTGATATCTTGGTACTTCAAGGGATTTCACTGTACTTACTTTTAAAGACTTTTGGTAAATGGCAAATAGAATGACCAGAGTCAGCAAATAGAGCAAAAGAAATATATATTGAGCAATCTTTATATTCCTTCCTTGCTCAGTTATATAGTACAGACCACTGAAGATGTACACAAACCCAGCAGGATAGCTAAAGTTTATAGAAAAAGTTTACAAGTATGAATTTATTTAATATCTATAATGTGGTATCTTTTGATAGAATACCAGGCCTTTCAAAGATTTCATATTAACAGTTTGTGTTCTCATTGCTTATAGCAATGAGAACACAAACTGTTAATATGCAATCTTTGAAAGGCCTGGTGTTCTATCACATTGTCTATCTATTGCTTAGAGCATTGTGCTTCTCATTGAGAGAGGCATGGCATCCAATCATGCTCATAGGCTTACCAAATGACTTAACTATATAGTTTACACTTTGAATCATCTGAGTAAATATATGAAAAACTTGAACTGTCTCTGCTTTGCAGTTAGGTTGCTGGATGTAATGAATTAAAAAAAGCACACATAAAGTAGCTTCAAGTAACTGCAGTTTTTCACCAGAATTGCAGAGCTGCAGGTTCAACTCCTGCCAGAGGGCTGACAGTTGCATTTTTTGCAACTGCTCCTGGTTAGGTCTATTAAATAGATGTATAAAAATAATCCCACTTGAAAATTCCATCTAAAAATCCCTTCAAAAATTACTTATAATCTATTACTGTTAAACAAACAAGTTTATCTCCTGTCACATACACAAGAGGTCCAGTAGCACCTTCAAGCTTCATGTAATCATATGTCCCATTCAAAAAACCTTCCACTTCTTGCATGTAAGCTTCCCAGTCAATTTCAGTATCTGAAACACAAAATCTTCAAGATGGAAGGGCTCATAGGGCTTTCTACAGGGAGCAAGGTATCTTTTGCAATGGGAAGACAGGAACATGTAAATTCCCGGGGGATATGGTGAAAGCTTTATAGGGAATGAAGTTTCAAGATTCCCATGGGAACACAGATCCTCTGAGGCATTTGAATTCACTTGATTTGCTTCAGCAAGAATAAACATAGAAAAAACACAGTGCTGGAAAATGCCCTGCAGTGCCAGCAGCACCACTGCCAGTTACCTTAAGTCTTCCAATCCAGAGCTTATTTTACAGATTCGTAACTACCCAACTCAGTCTTTCCAACCCCCAACCCCCACCTTGTAAAGGGTAAACCCCGGTTAGCACTATTTTCCATCCAGCAAACTGACCTGACGTCATTTTCGGAAGATAGAAGAGGTGTTAAATGGCTATGTAACTAATCCAAACCCTACCCCTACTCTAACCCCTAACCCTAACCCTAACCGCAACCCTATCTAACCCTAACCGAATTAATAAAAAAATTAAAAAAAAAAGACTTTAGAAAATGGATAGGGCGGTTTGCTGGATGGAAAAAAGTGCTAACCGTAAACCCCCTGTATTAAAAATATAGAAATTGCAGGAATACAACTTTGTGACCTGGGAATTGATTACCTAATTGATACAGTATCCTACACTAGATCGTTTATGGAAATCAATTTCCTGGGTCGAGAACCAGATAATAATTGCAGACTGCAATATAAGCCACTCAATCACTCATGCCTACAATTCTTACATTTTACTTTCCATATAACAAGCAAATTAACCAGTAGTTCGGCTACAAAAAGCAACACTGCTACAATCCACGTTTTTGCGGGATCAAACAGCAATGCCTTTCCAAAGTCCAATGCGTTTCTCAACGACCAATCGACATTATTTTTTTCACTCTTGCGCTTCCTCGCCGGCGCCATATTGAAACGTGATATTTGTTGACAAAATGACGAACACGTGCTCAGTCTAATTTACATACGCCAAAGACTGCCGAACAACAGCCGGAAGTTGATGGTCTCCAATGATAGCACCGGGTACTCACGTGATTAGAATGTTATTTTGAATGATGTGAAATAAGGTGTAAACATCTGCCAAAATGGCAGTCAAACATTGTGTGTTTATAGCATTATGCGCAATATTAAATGTGCCTTGGTTTACAAGTGGAAACTCTCATATGTGTACATATTTCGGTGAGTATATATGCTATGAAATTACGTAGATATTTCTACTGATTGTGACACTGCCATATGCTTTGGTATGAGTTAAACAATATTAAGCAATCCGCAAGCTAACGCGGTTACGCGGGCAAACTTGCAGCAAAAGTCGCCGGTGTTTCCCAGAGCCTCACGGTTAGACAACACGAATTTGTAAATAAAATCTGTCCATAGGCGGCCTTTTAGCCCATGGTTAGTAAATGGGAGCCAGCACGGACATCAAATTAGGTCGGTTGCAACCAACGACGAACAGTCGCAGATAAAACGTCTATCCGAGCTCACGTGAAACTACAATGGCCTATAATTCAAGGAGTTAATCCAATTAGGGCACTTCAAATGAGATAGGCCTCTTCACGAGGAATACAAAATAGCAAAAAATAACACTATAATTCTTGCCATCGTCGGAGCTCAGAATAGTCCATGGCAAAACACTTTTCCTACAATTCCAACTACAATAGACAATAGTCAATACGCATTGTTGTTAATAACAAATTTTAGCACCTTTAATCTTTATGGGACGAGTCATAATCGCTTTACTTGACAAACTAACCGGCTAGAGAAAAATATATTTTGGGCGGCTAGTGCCTAATCCATAAAACGATATATCTTAAACTTTGCATACTATTATTCAAGTTAGAAATTCATATACTTTTAAATTAAACGCATCAGTATAAAATATAGGACTTTACTCTCTTTAGTTTAGGCAGTCTGTATTAACAACATGATATTTTTGTTTATATCGACCAAACCACACTTTAGTCTTTACAGTGACCAAACTTTTAACCTGCGAGTTGTGTCTAAAATTAAGGGCGCTAAATTTCGCCAAGAAATCATGAATTTAGCCTTGATTTGGAAAACTCTAGCTTTGGCATTTGCCTTAGCAGACGAGAAAATCATTGCACGTTATGCCACTTCTCTTGCGTGGGCAAAGGCAAAGCAATTATTAAAATTTGACCCGTTGCCTTGCCTGCGCGAGAAAACATCGCACGTGTGACCCTTGCTTTACAAAATTTACTACAAAACTGGATATTTTCCCAAAAAGTAAATAGTGTAACTTGTTTGAATAATGCAAAAACCACTTCTTGGTGACGGTGGACTAGTTTGTTTCCCACCAAAGTCTAACTTCGAGCGGCCTTGGTGTGAGGCTAGTTAATTTAATAAACGTGACTGGGGCATGATCGGGTGTAAACCTTTCAAGTGCTTTTGACGTTTTGCGTGACAATATTGACAGTGTTTTGTCTGCAACACTTCATTGTTAGATACAAACTCTTTACTGAAATTGGTTGATATTTGTGATAGGTGGTGGACGTTCTCCAAAAGAGGCGTACAGCCTCTCCAATTGCACGTGGTATCGTGAGAATGCTTGCTGTGATAGGACAGAAGTGGCCTCGGTCTTCCGTGAGATGCCAGCTCTACTGACCAGCGATAAAGGATGCTACAACAGAATGAACTACCTCATGTGCTACTTCTGTAGTCCAGAGCAGAAACTTTGGTATAACCAAACACTATCAATCTGTCATTCTTATTGCGAAGAAATCTTCAGCTATTGTGGATCAGCGAAGTATAATGGCCACAGCCTAGCAAGCAAGTATAAAGATGGAGTAACGTTTTGTGAAGCCCTCGCGTTTAATGTTGTTGCGAAAAATTTGGAGAACCATAATTGCTTTCAGTTTGATCCACAACTGTTTGGTCATGGGAACAGAAATGGGTTATGTCAATGGTTGTTAGTGGCTGTCTTCATCACCAGTGTTTACATTAGTTGGGCAAATTAGGGTAGCAGGTTTAGGCCGGAGGATTATATTCACTAGATCAACGTCGTAATGCATTTGTACCTTAATTTAAATGTATAAATATAGTTGTAATTAACACGAGATGAGATTTTACATTATTGTATACAGCTATTTCAATTAAGGTTGTCCCCCGAGCAAAGCGGAAAAGTCGAATACGAGCGCGAAAGGCTGCTGGGAATCGCTAATAAATTCATTCATTTATTAGCGATTCCCAGCAGCCTTTCGCGCTTGTATTCGACTTTTCCGCTTTGCTCGGGGGACAACCTTAATTGAAATAGCTGTTTACATTTTATAAAGAACAAGCATGGTATACCCAGATAAATCACAACAATTAAAGGGACGTATCTCTTTTTCAGTCTTGGAACGATAGACCGCGCTATTATATTTTAGACATATTTTTAAAATAATCTAAATTGCATGTTGTATATCAAATTATGTGTAATATCAAATTGTATATTAGGCCATGTAAAAAATATCCCGGTTTATCATCAGTGGCAGCAGAAAAAACCCGTGCGGATTTATTTTTTATTTTTTACCGAATCACATTTAGTAGGTGCACGTAAAACATATGCTCAAACACGCAGTACAGTTTTATGGTATAATATTTTCAATGTTATTACACTTTTCATTAATATTGTAATTGCCAAGGCCCAAGCGCAATATCATACACGTTGTCAATATGAACTTGTGTTTTCAAAATGGCCGACCATCGTGAAAATCTCGCGTGGGTTCCTCGCACGGTCCGCTGGAAATAGTGATTTTTTAAAAATAAAAAACAAAAATCCATGCGGCACGAAAAATGGATGCGGGCACTGATGATAAACCGGGATATTTTTTACATGGCCTTATTAAATTAATATATTATCAACAATCGTTCAAATGTATTATTTTGTCCCATAAACTTTCGACAATAATCTTTCATCGTAGATTTCTGCGATAACTATAATATAGGCGCATTCACTTAATTTCACTTTGATCACATATTACTATCTTTCGGCCATAATGAGGAATATTGCACTTTAGGGCATAATAAATCTATCTCATAATTGGTTCTTCTTTTAGGCGTTCTTCGACTAGGCTTTTTATTACCAGGCCTAGGACAGAATTCCTGAAAAATTATTCAGTGCAAGGGGATATAGATCAGAACTGAGATCTTAAGATTCGTTTTGGAAAAGCTTTCCTTCCTCAAAAATTGCGGTTGCCATAGAGTATTTTAATAAAACACAAAACAATAGACACTCCGAAAAGACTAGGAAATCAGCGGTGTGTTGAAAAGATCATCTGATCATCATAATTAGACCATGAACAAAGAATAAAATACAATTCAGCAAGTTATAGGCGATCGCGAGTTGAAATAAGAGGCAAGCAAGGATAATGAACCCTTTCACTTTGTCATTGTGTCATCTGACATCGCTACAGCTTATGACGTTATTTGAACATTGGCTGCCGGCTAGTTTCAGGCAGTTGCATCCTATACATCCTGTACATAAGCCAGCAAATTTTCAGAGATGATTTTCGTTTGAACTGAAAATATACAGACAAACGGAAAGCGTAAATTGCCTCTCACATTATCACCCTGGAAATAAGGAAGTTTCAATCACAAGCGGAACAAATTATGACCACGCCAACTAAGAATACTTGAATCTTGATGTGGTGAAAGTCTTTGAGAGGCATATAGAGTGTTTGGATTAACAGCACTCTTTAAATAAGATCAACATAACTCGTGTCCAACCGCTATTTACATCAACTTTCATCCATAAAAATTCTCATCTATTTTACACGTATAGTAGAAACGGTGCAAAAAAATTAAATTGTTATGGCTATTTACTGAATTACTGCAACAATTGAATTATAGACGACAGCCGTAACGGTAAAAAACTAATACGTGTTATGACTTATGACTATTTATAATGCTGATCGAATTGTTGAAGACAAAATATAAAATAAAACATTTTGAAAATATGCATCTTGAAAATTCAAGATATGGATTATAAAATCAAGACATATTGATTATTGTATATAATAGTTTATTATATATAATAGCAGATTTCTTCACTTGGTCTGAATTAGGTTGAAATTAAAGTCAAAATATCACCATTTTACAACTTGTCTTGATTTTGATCCATATTTTTTTATCCATATCGATTTTCAAGATGCATAGTTTTCGGAATATGTTTTATTCTATATATTTTTCAAATTGTCGGCTGGAAATGGATTGTAAAAGACAAACGTCAAAGAAAAACTAATTGTTATGATAATAATAATAATTTACTCAAAACAAGGTGCCAAAAGAGGTATACAAAAGATATTGTTATATCGACCAACTGGAAACCTATACGGCTATATGACAATATGTGCTGCATGAAAATCTCAACTTTGTAACAGCTTGTACTTCGATGTTTAAGTTAACGTTGTGGATTTCCAAAAAGTATTTTTCAAAATCCAAGTTCACTGTTATATGACTATTTATAAAGCTGAATCGTAGATATCGAAGTCGAAGAAAGGACGTTTTTGCCAAAAGCAACCCTTCTTATATCATGTTTAGCCTACCCTACCCACTCTAAATTTGGCACTTGTGAGAAAACCTGTGCCAATATATCAACTCCTGCTCAGCCTTTTGTGTTACTTTTCGAAGTATCACTCCTTGACAACCGTAAGCTCGTGTGGGCGCACAAGGAAACGATGACGTCGGCCACCCATTGACAGCGCGAAACTTCCTCAATTAAAAATTCAGTTCATGATCAAGCATTGTCCACGGAGACGTTCTGTGATTGCGTGCGAAATAGCACTCAATCAAAACATAATAACAATCATACGGCACGCTATGGGGGCATTTGTAACCAGCTACAAAGCGAACAAGATGTCGTTGGTGAACGAGAGATATCATATTGAACACAAATTGGGGCAGGGCTCGTTTGGTGTGGTGTTTCACGGACTTGATACGAAACTAAACGAACGCGTTGCCGTGAAACTTGAACTAAAAACAGGCTCGTTACTCGCGCGGGAAGCGCAGGTTTACAAGTTACTGCGACACGGGGTTGGTTTCCCCAAAGGTGAGAGCTATTATACTATGTGTTTATAAATTCATACATTTCTCAGTATTAATTAATAACATCCTTCAAGCATGTTTAAACTATCATCTTACTAAATGTTTATATATAATATACACAATGTTTTTTGATAAGCCTGTTTTAGGCATTGCACTCAAAATGCCGATATTAGGATCATTACTATATTATTAATTGGATTTTGAAACAGATACTTTTTTCCTACTATATCACATTTTATTGTCTAAATAAGAAACCATAATCCATATATAGCGATTAGCGCGAGCTTCCTGATGCATGTCCATTGCGATTGTATATAATAATTTAAATACCCTGCAGGTTTATCTCCATATCATTTTATATGATAACATTCAGGTATTAGATAAGAAATTAGTATAGACTTATAGTATCAGTATAGTAAAAACAATTTAACCTTTTTATAGCAAATACTAACCCCCAAGACCTTATAGCCTATAGACAAAAAGTGTCTGTTTACCAAAACAGGATTTTAGATTGCTGTTGGCTATTATGCATGGCAGTCAGATTCTTGGTAAACAGGAATTTGAAAAGCTAATGCATTTGTGCCAAGTGCGTAATCGTTTTCATATATCTGACGCATATATAAGGCTTTTCATTGTGGGACGATTTGTCCTTTGTCTTTGACAGGAAAAGGGGGGGGGGGGGAATAAATCTCAGAGTTGTTATGATGTTTTTGTTCATTTAAGTCGATCGTAACTCATTTTAAATATTTGTAAGCTATTTATCAGTAATATTTATCAGTGATAAAATTAACATGCAACAGTTGATGAAACAGATGAAAACAGTTCAATACAATATTCAATAACAAAGTAATATAACAAAGTTACGCAGTATTTGTTTACAAATGTTATTAAACTTATTCAAATATTGTTCCCAAAATAACAAAGGTCTACTCGTGAAAAGTGTTTGAGTAAATACGTAAACGTGACATCGAAAAAACAGTCGGGACGTATTTACATGTCTTTCCAAATTTAGGATGTTTAATTACAACTTGTTGTTTGTTTTATCAAGTTGCAGTGATTTTGAGTTAATTAGTTATTTAAATTAAATATAGTTATCTAGCATTATTTTGTCTTTTTGGCAACGATTGCAGCAGTTTTTCAGCCTGTTTTTGCAGCCAATAATACGCTTTCGTGCAACTTGTATCGCAATGTTTATTCACGGAATGGCTTCCAACACCAGACAACCTGGCTGGCGCCTTTATAATTAGACTAGATCCGACACTCAATTTTTGTTCTGAATCGATTGCAAGTTGCACGAAACGAATTGCATAATCAAGTGTAATTACTTTATCGATCATTGAACAGTTATTAGTCTTCAATTAATTCATTTTTTACCTATTTGTTTATGCAGTGAGATGGTTTGGTCAAATCATGCCCTTTTACGACGTAATCGTAATGGATTTACTAGGAACAAATTTGGGCGATCTGTTCAACGAATGCGGAAACCGGTTCTCAATAAAAACAGTCCTGATGTTGGCTGACCAAATGATCAGCCGTTTGGAGTACTTGCATAACATGAATATACTTCACAGAGACATTAAACCCGAAAACTTTGTTATGGGCGTGGGGAATACGCGAAACACCCTTTATCTGGTCGATTTTGGTCTGTCTAAAACCTTCCGTGATGTTAAAACAAACCAGCACATGTGTTTTCGTGACGGAAAAAGTTTAACAGGCACGGCACGATATGCAAGCGTGAACACGCACCAGGGAATCGAGGCAACGCGTCGGGATGACCTCGAAAGCGTGGGTTACGTTTTGGTGTACTTTCTCCGGGGTTTTTTACCCTGGCAAGGCGTTGCTAGGAAACAGAGCAAGAAGCATAGGTATTCCGTGATAGGGGAAATGAAAAGAACGATTCAACTCGAAGAACTTTGTGATGGCTGTCCTCAAGAGTTTGTAGAATTTTTAAGATATTGCCGTGGGTTGGAGTTCACAGAGAGGCCAGATTATGCTCGTCTCAGACAAATGTTTCGTGACCTGTTAAGAAATCTTGGCTGCGACTATAATTACGATTATGACTGGTCAGGCAAGGTCCCATTATATAGTTAGGAATTGAAAAGGCTTCCGTTACAAGACATTAAATAGATTTATTGTGCGTGGAGTCATTAACGTAATTAAACACGTGGTCGTTAAGCATCGCAAACATTCATAGCTTTTTGAGAGAATACACCACAGAAAATCAGTAGACAATGACTGAGTTGAAAGGGCTGGTTCAGTTTGCAACTTAAAGATTCTTTAACCAATTAACATATGATCATGCAAGGATTTCAGTGTGAATGTAATCCTCTTTGACCTTGAAGACACTGAATATAAAAGACTTTGTTTGAAGCATAAAATTAATTCAGACGTTTTGTTGAGATCTTATCTAATCAAAAATACTAATAATTCAGACGTTTTGTTGAGATCTTATCTAATCAAAAATACTTTTTATATAAAGTTTTGTTACATAGGAACGAGAAATATTTATAAAGTATATATAAAAACAATGACATGACGATTTTGATAAAGTGTATGAACTGTATATAACATTATAGTGGTTAAGCTTAATTATAGAGAAGTATTTATATAAATTATGTATATAATTATAGACATAGAGAAATATATATTGATAATTATATTATTTATGAAACATGTTTTATAACAGAGCAAACGAGCGGGATTTATTTATATGCGAGCGCATTCTGGCTTCACCGACAACAATATACTATTCACCTGCTTTTGTTGAAAATCTCACGAGGAAAATCGCATGTTGCAAATTGTATGCGCGTAATATTGAAGCCTCGGGCAAACAAAGACGAGTGTTGATGAGAGTTGGCAGTCACGCATTGTTATGGGGGGGGGGCACATTTCAAGCTCTAGATTAATGAACAAAATAAAGGTTTGACGAGTGTTTCCAACTATGTTTTAAAGTAAATAAAATCATGACATGATATTGTTGGGAAAGCATTAAGAACAGCTAACCAAGGTCGGTAACTGCCATAGATATCTTATATACACTAGTGCATCTAATTATTCTGCAATTCAAAAATTGAAGCCGTGATTCGGCAGACTCAGGATATTCCCATGAATTGATGAAATGAGAAGACTCGTATGTTTTCTATTTCTTAAACAGGGAACTTAAACATTAAGTTAAACCTATTCCAAATGCATTTTCAAACTATTCAAATGATGAAAGTTATTGTTGTTTTTTAAGCGTTTGTTAGCGAGTGGGAAACTCCAACATGGCCGCCATCTATTCAAATGGGGGTAACCGCTGGAATATTCTTGACTTCAAAAATTACTAAAAGAGATGCGCTATCTAGTGAGTATATAAGATATCTATGGTAACTGCCAATCTCATTTGATTCGGCCTTTTCCGTACATACATGTGCACACACAAAACAGGGCTATCGAAGGTCGTGCCAAAGCATAATATCCTGCCCGTTCCACAACACATATAGGAAGAAATTTCTCTCTTCTTTTTCAGGTATAAATAACCATTTCCCCAAGTCAAAACACCACCTCAAATTTCATCATGATTGCCTTCCTTAGACACAAGTTCAGCAATAGTTTTAATTTTATAATATATTGTTACAGTGTAATCAAATAGAATGACAGTATTCACAAAACCTGCCAAATTTGTAGCAAACTGTCTATGATACGAAAAAGATCTCATTTTTCACATCCAACAAAGACAAAATTCCGTCCTTATCTCGCATCAACGCTACCTACCAAATTATTTGCCCTGGTTGTGACAAATCTCACATTGGTAAATCTTACAGTACACTAAGAGATGCCTGAAGACACGACATGTGATACCAGTGCAAGTAGCTCAACATTTTTTTACAATGTCAAAATGCACAACACATTGCGACTCAAAACAAAACAAAGCTGGACTGACTTTCCGGCATACGAGTTGGTAATATATTTTTTCCACCCCTGATGCCAATATTTAGACCTTTTTCTAAACTATAATTTGCGTGCACAATTTCACGTTTCGTGCCAACTGGGTGCGGGGGCTTTACGGGATTGCGTGCGTGGTTTGACCTTTCTCCTGCGGGATGCGTGGGGTCACACGATCTAATTGCTACAAATCGGAAACACAGCATCACATAAACAAGACCGAAGCTTCGATTCAAACTCTCTCGTTTGATTCGCATTCTCTCTGCCAAGAGAAATCAGAATGGCCTCTAGCTCCGAGATTCGTAGCGAGTTTGTAATCGGGAATAAATACCGCGTTTTAAGAAAGATCGGCAGCGGTTCTTTTGGTGATATCTATCTAGCAGTGAACCGAAACACCGGCGAAGAAGTGGCTGTGAAATTAGAGCTGCAAAAAGCGCGTCATCCTCAACTGCTGTACGAATCAAAACTTTACCGTATTCTGCAAGGGGGCGTTGGAATTCCCAATGTTTTATGGTACGGGCAAGATCGAGACGTGTATAACGCGCTGGTCATAGAACTATTAGGTCCTAGCTTAGAAGACCTTTTCAACTTTTGCTCGCGACGCTTCACTATGAAGACTGTACTTATGCTCGCCGATCAGATGATTAGCAGAATCGAGTACGTTCACAACAAGAACTTTATTCATCGAGATATTAAACCTGATAACTTTTTAATGGGAGTAGGGAAATCGTGTAATAAAGTGTACTTGATCGACTTCGGTTTGGCAAAGAAATACCGTGATAGTCGGACATATCAACATATACCGTACAGAGAGGACAAGAATCTCACTGGCACTGCGAGATACGCAAGTATTAATGCTCATTTAGGGCTTGAACAATCTCGTCGAGACGACCTGGAGTCCTTGGGCTATGTCTTGATGTATTTCAATCGCACCAGTTTGCCTTGGCAGGGGTTGAAGGCGGTCACCAAGAAACAGAAGTATGAAAAAATTAGCGAGAAAAAGGTGTCGACACCTGTGGAGCATCTTTGTCGTGGGTTCCCCGCTGAGTTTGCTATGTATCTCAACTATTGCAAGAATTTACAGTTCATGGATAATCCTGATTACATGTATCTGAGGCAACTGTTTCGGATCCTATTCCGCACCCTGAATTACCAGTATGATTATGTATTTGATTGGACGATGTTAAAACAACGGGCGGCACATGCGGTGGTCATGCCCTCCCCACGACCTGGAATCAATGTACCAGGGCTGTACCATGGTGGTCCACCCAGAGAATTGCACCACGCCCCTGGTAATTTGCACGAGGGTGTTACATACATGGCCGGAATTTCGAGAAGTGGAGGACAGTCATCAATGAGCCAACGATACACTAACTTTAGATTGTAAATCAGTTCTAGGACTCGATACATCCATGAAACTAGAAGCAGATCTCTTCAACACCATAGACAACAATCTGGTGCCTTCTTAGGATCTCAGAATGGATCTAGTTGCCAGTAAGGCTACAGACATGGCCAGAACATTGATTTCATGCATTTTAATTATTTTTACAATCTTTTAAATCAATGGATGCAGAGGTTTTCTCCTATGAACATCCAAAGTTCTTGAAACATTTAACATATACTATGAGAAGAGAACTAATAAGTATGACTGTGCCAAAACAGGTACATTTTTATACTTTGTGAATTTTTAAGCAACATTAGGTATTTTATTAGTTATGTTTACTTATAGATTTAAATACTGTAATTGAAAGTAATATAAAGATTTAACACATGTATATTATCTGTATTTAGATTATCATCCATTATTAAAAATATTTATCATATCGAGTTAATTCCCTTGCATGCACTAATTTATCAAGTTTATTTCCGTTATATTATTATTGTGCCATAAAACTGAACTTTTCCCAATAAATACATTTATGCAACTTACCTCACAAAAGCAACAAAAATCGAGCCCAATGGTGATGACAGAGGCTATATAAATTTGAGTATTAGTTCTAAGAAAGTATTTTTATTACTGGTATTTTCAATTTTTAATGAGTGTTTTCCCTGCATTTTTCAAGTTTTAATGTAACTCACTCTCAGGAATAATATCATATTGGGCCATTATCTAAACACATATAATAGAATAATAAAAACTGAAAAATATCATCTCTAGCCTTCAAAAAAGCCTGTGGGGAGATCATTTCCTGAAAGCATTTTCCTCTCCAAACCATCCTCAGTAATGGCAGCCATTCGTATAACTCCACCAGAGGATCCATCACGTGACATTGCCAAAGCCACAGCTGTCAACGAGAAATTCTAATTACTCAGTTGATTTTGGGATACTTATTATATATTGCCAAAATTACAGTATACCATATATGTACATTATTGGATACATTTATTTGACAGTATCCTTGATCAAGGGATTTCCTGTTTCACTGAACCTGTAGTCTGCACAAATCCAGAGACTGTGGCCTACTAATTAGACAGGGGATTTCATAGATTTCAATAACTGGCTTGCACATGAAGTTTGTTACTTACCATTCGCAACAAATACATAACATTCGTCTTTTGTCATTTTTTCTTTAAATGTTGCATCGCAATGCCCATAGATGTATGAACTACCAGATCCTAAAGATTTTTTCATTATTGGATTTGATTATCTTTCAACATTCTGAATCTGATTTGAACTTTTTATTAACCCACTCGGTGCGAGCACTTCCCCATGCAAGTAAAATTGCCTGGCATCAGACTTAGTAAAATAACAAAGTAAGGTGTGTTAGCCAGGGTACAATACAAATGGTTAAACTTGCCATGTTAGTATAGTATACAAATTTCTATACTGTACCTCCAATTGTGAAAGGCTGCCTGACACACATTCCTCCAAGTGGAATAGAATATACCTAAAATACATTTTGCAGATTAATTAACATTCAAAATAATTTCCCAGGTACAATTTTACTGTTTGTGAGTCATGAGTGCATGCATAACAAAGTTACTATGCAAACACTAACATACAGTATTAGCAAATTTGATCAACAAGATGTTTGTGATTTGTGATGTTACTCTGAGTGTGCATCCACATCGGATAAGCAGGTTTATTTCCCTTATCTAAAGTTGAAACAGCCTTTTTCTTTATTAAATAATAATTTATTTTTATTAACAACTGTATGATCTTTCCAAAAGAACTTCAGAATGGTACCAAACATGCATCATTACCTGTCCACCATCATATTTATCCCAGCCAGCACATATGATACCTGCTGACAGCGAATCACGGTAATCATAACAGAAATTCTTGAAAATATTTGCTGCTGTCTTTACTCGAGGATCTTCACCAATTTCTCGGCTGTATTGAACAAAACCAGAGACCGTATTAACCTTTGAACAGCTGACATTGCACCCTAATGCGCCCTACTTTGTTATTTTACTCTGTCCAACGCCAGACAACTTTACTCATCAAGGAGGATAGTGCTATCGCTCACTCAGTTAAAGCTTATTATGCAAATAAGTAAGCAACGATTTTTTGTAAAGTGACTGTTAAAGTGTTTAAAGTATCAACTAAGATATTTTTATTTTAATGTCAAGTCATATCATGTTACTATCACCCATCTCACCAGTAAAAATCTAAATGGTATTTAACAATATCAGCTATTGCTTGTGTGTCTGCTGCAGATCCAGATCGACAACAGTATATCTTGTTTGTGATTGGTGTCAGTTTGTCTGTCACACGATTGGCTATATAAGATCTATAAAGTAGAGAAGCAAAGGCCAAGTTAACCCATTAAGTGACTATCATGATGGTGCCCTAATGTGTCCTAGCTAAATCTATTTTCTCATGTGATTGTTTCTTGGATTGGGTCATCCACCCTGCCTCCTAGAAGGCCCTTTAAGAAATCAATGCTAATGACTTCGAAGATGATTTTAATGTAAATGCTAATTTATGCAGAAATTAAATTTTAGATACTTTAATAATGGGTCGTTCTAGAAAAGATCCACACTCCCCCCATGGAGGAAATTTCTGCCGTCCGGAGGGGAGACAAAATTGTTTCTGATAATAGTAAATGTAATTGTTTTTGTTTGTGGAAACACCACATAAATTTACTACTGCATTTATTACTTTCTTTTTAAATTTTTTTTTATTATTTACGTGGTGTTTCCACAAACAAAAACAATTATATTTTATCGCCATGCAAACATTCAAAGAACTTAATAGTAAATGTATTAGGACATCCAAAGGGGATGGGGGGTTAACTTCCAATTTCCTCTGTGGGGGTGGTATGGATGTTTTCTGGAATGACCAGATGGACTATTTATATGGATACTTGTTTAATCTTTTTAAGCTGTAAATTAGGTAATAACATGTTTAGTTTTGTCTATTAAAAATTATGACAAATTAAGGAGGAAATTTGTGCTGTCTGGAGAATGAGGGGAGAAACATTCGTTTCAGATAATAGTACAGCAAGTGCATTCCAAAGGACATCCAAAGGGGGTAGGGGGGGTACTACTTTTGAAGTGACGACACACAACAGGCAAATATCAAGATTTTTGGGCATCTTGCTCTTGAAATAGAACGAACAATTTTTCACAGCTGCCCCTGGTTAGGTCTAGACTGTGGCGGTTCTTGAAAAAACCGAAACCGAAAACCCTCAGGGAAAAACCCCGGAAAACTTCCCCAAAAAACTGGTTTTTAATCTATAAATAACACACAGACATAAAACCGTGTAGCACAAGTCACATGTTTTTATTATGTGAAGAATTTTGGCTTTAGATGCTTGATATCAAAAGCTCACAGACGTATAAAAATACAAGTAAGAACACAATGTTAAAGGAATGTATTAACAAGTTTCCAGCTAGGATTAACTGAAACATTAGCATTTTTATCTTGTTTTTTCCGAGTTCTCTGTCTTTTTCCGGGGTTTTTTCTCGTTTTTTTTGGTACTTGGACTTTGGCAAAAACGAAAAAACAGTTTTTCAAAAAACTTGGTATTTTCCGGCATACCGGAAAACCGCCTCAGCCTAGTTAGGTCTAAAATTGTATATAATCCTCTGCTCAAAATGTCCATATAGATTCATATCACAATAATATTGTATATAAAAAGTACTCTTTGCTGAAGTACTCGGGAATTAAACAACATCCAGACTATAAAGTTTGGTCTGCACAGGGAAGCATTCTGTTTAGCTGTTCAGCTGAATTTCTGTCCACGCATTTTCAAGAAAATAATACAAAATCTGCTTATTTTTGATGAACTAATAATTTATTTGGTCTCTTATATGTGTTGGTCTTGTGAAAAGAGGTAGAGAAAACTCTCAAAATGCCATTTCAGACAATCTAAAAAATTTCCTCTCGACGCCAAGCGTGGTGGCCGGTACCTTCACCCTTGTGGAATTTATGCAATCACTGCCCCAACGTTCTTCATTCATTTCCGTGCAACTGCCATTTTACGACCAGGGTGCATTTTAAGTGCAATATGCTGAAGATCTTTGGCACAAGTTAGGCAAATTACAATACTATCTATAATTAATATTGGAATATCTTCGGTGTAGAGTTTACACAGAATGTACCCTGGATTTTAATACGACAGGAAAGTTCCACACATATAAAATAATACTTTACAGTCTGGCACAACATCAATTGAAACTACAGCCCCAGACCCCCGCGGCATAGTGCGGAATTAACAAGAACAGAGCCATGGAATAACGCCTATTTAATGCTGCATTTCCCCGGGGATTTAACAAGCTGCTGGGAATAAGTAGCCGGGATTTTAACGTTCGGCTAGAGTAGAGGAACTGAACATGCGAGGTCATTGTGTTTGAACATGCTCTTCAGTTTAGCACTACCCTATCCTGTTAAGACCGACAGATTTTGTCTCTTACTCTGTATATAAATTATATTCTTGGTCTGCTTGTAGTTGTTTTTGTGGAAAGTGTTGAAAATGTTGTTGTTCGCATGTGATTGCATCGCCAAAATCTCTTGGGAGAACGAAAAAAACAAGCTCAATTGTTTATTTAATCTTCACATGTTGTTTATTAATGTTTGTTCTAGAAAGCGTTCAGATTTGTGTATTGCTGTTTTGCACAAGAGTACCGGGGCTTTTAACAGGGAATATCCCCCTGTAGCGGGGGAAATGAGTGGGAATGGTCCATTCCATTTAATGTACACACCCCCCTATGGACGAGAATTTCTGAAGGGGTTTGAAAAAGCCATTTCTGAGGGGTTGTGTGCATTGGCATCCTTTGATCTTTGCGTTTTTTCTGAGGGGTAAGGCAAAAAATTATTAATTTCTGGGTTCAAATTTTATTGACCTTGTCAATAGGGTTACATTAAATGGCCCAATTAACAAGAGGAATTGTTAAATTCTGCTATGCCGCTGGGGTCGGGGGCCGCAGTTTCAACTGACAAGTGCATTACTCAAGTATGATAAAGCATGCTTTCAAAATTTCCTAAATACTATATACCCAGTAGTGGTCCGTGAGTCAGCACCTATCACAACTCCACCTGCAAACTCCACAGCCATAATTGTGGTCTAAAAACAACAGAAATACCGTTTATTTACGAAACTTTCCATAACACACAATCACAGGAATACTTAAAATCTTACCCCTGTCAAATGGCGAGCATTTGTCCAGTGAGGAAAATCAGAAATAGACGAGTTTTCAAAATTGTGTAAAATTTGTCCTCTTATCAAGGCCGCCATTTTGAGATACATAAGCCCGCGATCTGTGTGCTCCTATACTTCATGAAATGCGATGTGAAAGGATGTTACAATTTTAGGTTGTCAAGGCACTGAATTTTGAGCATTGTTTACATTTTTATTCTTCGATTATTTTCCTCACAAAAAGTCTGATTGCTGAATCTATTTTATAGTTGTTAGGATATGGGTCTGAAGAAGGTATGTAGGTGGTCAATTTGATTGTTACCGGTGGTTTAACTGTATTTAATACTGTATTGTTTCATGTAGCTCAACTCCGAGTACAATACACGCTACAAGACATTTGCAGTTCACAGACCTGTTACCACCAAAGCAAAGATTTTAAGTCATCCTACAGACAGTGCACCAGAGGCTATGGAAAGTAGCAGGAGGGCTGGTCTTCTTTCCAATCAGTTTACGAACGTGAGCGAACCTGCTCTTCAGCGGAAACGTATCGTACCGTACAAAAATAATCACAATATTTTATCAACAAGTACTGTGAAGGAATTGAACGATAGAGATTGGCTTGAAGCTGTTGGAAATGGAGGAGATGAAGAAATATCTACTGGTAGTGTTAAAAGAAAGGTGAGGATCCTGTTTATTTTGTTAAGTCTGTTAGTAAATTGCTTAGTAATTAATCTTTCTTTTGTAATTTATTGCTTTGTCTTTTATAGGATACAAAGAAGACGGAAGACACTGAATATAACTCCTGTTTTGCAAAACTAAAGGTTGAAGAAGACAGTCCAATAATTCTTGCTAGTAAAGCAAAGATGAAGCGGAAAACACAAGATCAAAAAAGGCAGACCAAAAGATCTGCTGCACCGCAGAGACCTCATATGGGTACAGAATAATACATAATTCATTCACGATCATGACACTCGTGTACTTTAAATGAACCATCTGCTCATAAAATATTTTCATTACAAAAAGTATAGCAGATGAAACTGGATGTAAACAGTAAAAATGTTTTCATTTTCTTAATGTAGCCTATATAATTTATATTGCATTTCAACACTGTTCAAATAGCTTTTGAAAGCTGATATCTGAGACCAACAAAAAATTTCATGGTAGTTATTGATTCGTTTTTTTAGAAAAGTCTCCAGAAAGGTTGCCTCCTGCGGGTATACCGACCTACGTAGCAGATCCAGAAGACAAAAGACTCCTGCGTCCATCGGACGACTTACTTTACCCAGTAACTTCTCAAGAAGAAAACAGGTACTGTTCAATATACCAGGTAACTAGGCAGGTATGGCCAGCCTTTTAAAAGTGGGGTGGATTTTCGAGCGGTGAAGGCGCGAGACACTTCTAGGGGGGTCCGGGGGCATGCCCCCCCGGAAAATTTTTGAAATCTAGAGTCCCTGAAATACGATTTCCTGCATTTTCAGGGTGAGATTATTCAGAATTCCGAAAATTATAAAGTAAACAAAACACACGATTTTTTCATGACTATACGTATATATAATACCTACAAATGCAGTATTACATCATAGTCAATAGAATAAGGTTAGGGAACTCGATGCAGACAAACAGCAAAAGACCTCATTATCTATGTTTTTGTCTGGTTTATGCAAGGAACGATCGGTTCATCGTCATGAGTGTATTATTAGTTACCAATAGCAGTGTGCTGGTTTAATTACCCGGTCGTAATATTACACAATGGCTAAACAAAAACATAACTATTGGTTACTCTAGCATACAATACACACATGACGATGAATCGACCATTTTTTTTGCATAAACCAAGACAAAAACATAGATAGGTCTATTATGTCTGCATCGAGTTCCCTAACCTTCTTATGTTATTGACTATGATTACATTGATTGACAGCTGCCGAAAGGAATTTCTACTTCCAGGAAAATTGAAGTCAACATAATTTTATATTTAAATACAAATGGAAATAACTGTTAGGTAGAATAATAATGGCTATATGTTATCGTAGATCTCCTTGCATGACAAGCTTATGAGGTTTTGCAAGCTTAAATATTTCCACTAATTTGGTAAGTTCAATATTGTTGGCTAGATCTCGTTCGTTGCTAATCTGGACAAGGTCCTCGAGTCTATCAGGTGACATAGCAACTCGCAAATCATTGTTTATTATTTTGACCTTGCTGTGTGTGCGTTCACATGATGCCACTGTACTGTCACAGGCAAGGTAGCGACTTCAAACAGGTCGGGTAAAGGTGGTGCAGATCATCTTTGCTGAAAACTTCGAACAAGGAGGGCAAGCAAATCCAAGGTGGAAACTTTCTTTTGGACCCTTTCTCTAGACTCTTTCCTTTCCTTCTCTTCGCTGCTATGATGCTCGTATGTAATCTTCCAGTTGTTACATTGAATATTCCAGTCATATGTACTCTTCGTACCATTTCTTTTGGAATGTAAACTTTCTCATCGATATTTCCGATGTTGAAAAATCTAAAATAGGTCTAACCGTCAAGATTCGAAAACGAAGGTTCTATTTGCCTCCCTCACACACAATTTCACTTGATGGATCTCTTCCTTCAAACATTTTTCTCTTTCAGTTGTGTAGTGATGCGTTCCAAGAAGCTAATGACCATATGTTGCGCGAACGGTGCATTAATTAATTAACATATCTCCCTCACATCTCAGCAGCAGGACCAAACTTCCGCATCACACATTACCCCTTGCACTTAATTTGGGTAATATGTTAACCCATTATGATGGGTTTCCTTCGGCGGTCGTAATCAGTGCCTGCAATATTCTATTGGTAAATACCGCATATATGAAACGGTCTTTTGTCAAAAGTAAAGCGAAGATCTTTTAATACCGGTTTTTATTCACACAACAAAGACTGAATTTATTAAGTTAGATCTAAATAACTGGACTGATGTCACAAACGTACCCCCCCCCCCAAATTTTCTCACCGGATTTGGACAAATTAGAAAATTGACCTTGAAGAGAACTGGGGGGGACGTGTCCTCCCCAGTCCTCCCCGTGGCGCCGCCACTGACGTGAATTATGGCTTTTTCAAATTGCAAAATATCAGTACACAATCATTATGTCATTCAAAATTGGCTTCTTACTCCTACATGTATTTCCTACCGACTAGTATTTAGCATTGATCATACGGACAAAAACACTAATATAAGGCTGGCGACTGTTAGCAGATGCAAAAACGATTGTTGT